GAGTGCTTCTTGGAGGCCAGGATGGCCAAACTTCGTCTCTCATACTTTGGACATATTGTCAGGAGGGACCAGTCACTGGAGAAGGATATCATGTTTGGCAAGGTGGAGGGTCAGAGAAAAAGAGGAAGACCCCCAATGAGATGGGGGTAGCAACATCTATGGACTCAACAAGTGTGGCAACAATAGTGAGGTTGGCCCACGATCGCGCAGTGTTTCATTCTGCTGTGCATAAGGTCACATTTGTTACATTAAATACTGAAGACCAAAGACCAGAAGAGCAACAACAACAACAATGTAAATTTTTATAATAGTAGTATAAACTGGCCTTCCTTGTAGGCATATGGATATTATCCTCTCACAGACTGCTTTGCACATTGAGATAGACCTTGAAATGTTCTTTTTGACAACAACTGCAATGCCATTCCTCTTCAATGTGGCATTCCCAATATAGTAAATCATATCATTGGCTGACTCAAAATGGATTTCATTCCATTTCAAACTAGGATATCGATCTTTATGCATTCCATTTCAATTTTGACCATTTTCAATTTTCGGAGATTCATACTTGTTACATTTCATGTTTTGATTTTTAATTGCTGCTTGCAGCTGTTTCTTTTCATTTTGAGTTGTGCTCTATCAACAAATGAAGATTCAGAAATCTTTGTTCCATCCAAGTCATTAAGGTCAACTCTACTTTGAAGAGGCAGCTCTTTCCCAGTCGTATTTTGAGTGCCTTCCAACCTTAATAACTTTTCTTTTGGCACCATATCAATGTTCATTCATGATTCCTAAGGTTTTCAGTGACTGTCCATTCAGTTTCCCACCCCTCCTTTTGCCTAGTCTGTCTTAGTATGGAAGATTCACTGGAACCTGTCCACTATTAGTGACCCTGCTGGTATTTAAAATACCAGTGAAATAGCTTCTAGCATGACTGCAACACAAAAGCCACCACAGTAGAACAAACTGACAAAGGAATGTTGGGGCTACAACAGTGGGCTCAAATAGACAATAACAATCATGGGGATGAAAACAATAGTAAGGACAGCAAGTAAGGACAACACAGGGCTATGTAATGTTTCATGCTATTTTTCACAGGTCACTATGTCACCACTGACTTGAAGGCACCTTTAACAACATTATTGGAGTCCTGGTGTGGTGGCGTGGGCTGATGTGTCAGACTGCAAAGTCATTTGAACTGCAAGGTTGGTGGTTCAAGCTCACCAGCCGCTCCTTGGAAACCCTATACAGGGTCGCTCTGTGTCAGAATGGACTTGACAGCACTTAACAACAACAACAACAAACAACATTATCTTTATTTCTTGTCTTTTTCTTTCCAACAGGACTCATTGAGGTTGAGTTACTAAGCAAAGATGTCATTTTGAATACATAGGTACACCTGACCCAAGCCATAGTATTTCCAATTGCCGCATAGTCCTGCAAAACCTGGACAATGAATAAGGAAAACTGAAAAAGTGATGGTTTTGAACGGTGGTATTAGCAAAAGTCTTAGTTATCTAATGCTGCTATAACAGAAACACCACAAGTGGATGGCCTTAAGCAACAGAAATTTATTCTTTTTCGCTTTAGGAGGCCAGACATCCAAAGTCACAGTGCTGGCTCTAGGGAAAGACTTTCTTTGTTGGCGCTGGGGAAGGTCTTTGTCTCCTTTTAGTATCTGTAGGCCTAGCATTCCTTGGAGATCTTCCTCTGTCTTGGCATCAATCTTCCCTTGGATCTAGGAGCTTCACAGTGCAAGGACCCCATTCCAAAGGATGCACTTCATTCCTGGTTCTCCTTTCTTGGTGGTAGTTCGTCCCTCAGATCTCTGCTCACTACTCTGTTTATCTTCTGTAAGATAAAAGGTGCTGCTGGCCACACCAAAGTGAAACTACTCTTACATCAGGTATAGTCTGTTATGGGATTAACAGTGTTACATCCCATCATTAATCCTTTTATTGGTTTATTACTTCAGATCACATCATGGTGGAGTACCACATAACTGGCACATTACATAACTGCCAAATCACTGAGAATCATTGCTCAGCCAAGTTGACACATATATTTTTGGGGAACACAATTCAATCCATGACTGTGAAGAAAAATATATCATAGACTGCCAGAAAAATGTGTCTTGGAAGAAGTATAGCCAGATTGCTAGAAGAGAAGTGAGGATAATGAGACTTCATCTCATGTACTTTGGACATATTATCAGGTGAAACCAATCCCTAAAGAAAGACATCTTGCTTGGTAACTTACAGGGTCAGAGAAAAAGAGGAAGACCATCAAGGACCTGGCTTGAACCAGTGGCTAGATCAATGAGTTCAAATGTATCAATGATTGTGAGGATGGTGCAGAGCCAGGCTGTTTTCTTCTGTCCCTACGTCCTGGTATGGCACTGTGGGTTAATGCACCGGACTGCAAAGTCAGTTTGAACTGCAAGGTCGGCAGTTCAAGCTCACCAGCCACTCCTTGGGAACTTTATATAGGGTAGTTATGGGTCGGAACCGACTCGACAGCACACAACAACAACATGATTAAAACCAACCTCAGTGTCAACTAGTAACAACCATTCTTACTCAAAATGGTACAGTAAATAAGTGACAGAGGTGAGTCCCCAAACCAAGATCTGTCTCATTGCATCTTACTACTCAACTGTTCACTACCTTATGGTCCAATCTTCTTCATAGCTGTGTCCCTCAGTACTGCCTACTATGGTGGCCTTCACGTAACAGTGGGATTAAAAATATTTAAGTAGTAAATATTTTCTGTCATCACGCATACATTTATTGTTACATAAGTTGCAAGAAAAAGAAACAGTATGATTATTAACTTTGAGCCTCTTCATCTCTATAAAAAGTGCTTATCAATGTTAAAAAACACTTCCACTTATATTCATGTTATTGCATATTGCTGAGGTCTAGCCTTCATATAAAAAGAGGAAGACCCCCAATGAGATGGGTTGACACAGTGGCAACAGTGATGGGGTCAAACCGAACAATTGTGAGGATGGCACAGTGTTTTGTTCTGTTGTGGATGTTGTTGTTAAGTGCCATCAAGTTGGTTCTGACCCATAGCGACGCTGTATAGGATTTCCGAGGAGCAGCTGGTGAGCTTGAACTGTCGACCTTCCAGTTCAAACGACTTTGCAGTCTGGCGCATGAACCCACAGATACAGTGGCTATAAATCAATAGCTCCTAGACATTGTGACCCTTGAGCTTTTATTGCCAGGAATTTCCCAACACAAAACACAAAGTAAGACCACTTATAGTAACATATTTTATTAAAACCATTTAAAAACTTTTAATTTTTCAAGTGGTCAGTGACAATGAATAGTAATGAAAGTTTCCCAAGCAGTTTATACCTATAGGCTGATCTCTGTTGGTTTCTACCTTTTTCCAACCTTGGTTCTCAAGTCTTTCAGTCCGTTTTGTTAGTTTGCTAGTATTCTTAGAATAAATTTCCTTATTATTTAAATCTGCAGCCTAATGCATCTGAATGATATATATAGATGAACCTATGAGCTTGCCAAAAAGCCCCATGGGAGCAAAAAAAGGAAACCAGTATTTTCACTGCAGGCATTTTGCATATTATCTTATTTAACTTATCACCATCATTCATGAGGTAGATACTATTACCTCAATTTTAAAAGATTCTCAGATTGAAGATGAGAGAGGTTATATAACTTGATTATGAGGTTATCTAGGTCTAAAGTAGCTGAGCAAAATTTGTACCCAGATGACCAGATACCACTTTTTGACTCGGACCAAAGGCTAAGCGTTTTCCACCAAACTAAGGACAAATGTTGCTTGGATTATCACTGTAGGAATGATTTCTGTTCTATTTGTATTTTAGGAAACACATTCGAATTTAGTGGATTTTTTAATGGGTTGAAGCAAAGCTTGGGAAAGGTTTCAAACTGTAGACATCTCTGAATAGTTTGTTGACCTGAAGGGACATCTTTGAATAGTTAATGTTATGTTAGTCCTCAGTTCTCTCATCTTTAAGATAAACTGTTGGACCTGATGACACATTTTTCAGTTCCTTTATGGTTCGGACATTATTTTGAGAAGTCCTTTGCCTCAAGATGCGTCCACCTTGTTGGAAGGGCTCTATAAATGATGTATTTGAGGCATTTGAACTACTCCAGGGGAAAACAGAGGGACAATGAACGCAAGCAAGGTAAATAAAGGTGGGGTGTGAAGGAAGACTTTGGCTACAGTTAAAGAGATGGAAACAAAGAGGTTAATAGCCTGCAGCTCACTCAAACCAGTATTCGTCGTTTGTAACGCAAATGAAACTGCTAGTTTCTAACGATGCAGGAAAAAGACCTTGTACATGCTTTCACTGCGCTCACAGAATGCCGGGGGTGGGTG